GAGGTACTCGAATCATTCGAGGAATCGTTTCAGCCCTAGTTCTTTGTCTTTGGAGAGAAGATTTCAAACGGGGTCAAATAATTTAGATGCTACAATATATTGGCACAGACAAATTTCCTGGCATCACTGCCTGATAAGACGTAAAAATGATTTCAACACATAATCTCACAACAAAAAATTTAAAGTATGGTGGAAGATCTATTGCGCCTGTCTTACTTTTTAGCCTTTTTATAGTCCATATTATTAGGAAATGTAAGAAGTATCAGGACATTTAAATATGATTAAATAAATAATTATGCCACCAGTGATTTTATTTAAAATAAAAAATTCCCTTCGATTTTCCCCTACTCTCACCAAAATTAAATGTTGGATTTGACCAAAAAAGTGTTCCTTTTATTGCTAATAAAAGCTGATTAAGTTTTTTTAAACCTTAATTTTTTTTATTTTAAATTGGTTTTATTGCCCAATTTTTAAATATATTTCTCTGCTGTTTTTTAAATACGCAAAGATGGGTTTTATCCAGTTCTTTACAGTTTGCCTTACATTAGATTTTAGTGATTTATGTATAATTTGAAAATTTGCCAAAAAGTTTTTACAGCCAATCACAACTTAGAACTGCGTGATCCACATTAAAATTTGAATGTACAGGTTAAGCAGAGTTAAAGTATTCTTGAATGTGTCTACCTTTCCATTTATATTATTGATTAATAATATTTTTTGCAGCATTTGGATAGAACCGAAATGTTTTTTTTCTACGCCAGTGTTAGTTTTTACAATTTGTAAGTTTCTGAAACATTGCCCCTTTAACATCAATTAAAAAAAACTGTTCTACAACCGTTATTAAAAAAGTTTTAATACGAACAATAAAAAAACTGTTTACTAAAACCTTTTCAGAGTTTGAAAGGTTGAAAAATAGTTGACGTACATACATTGCGGCCATAGACGCTACCTTGTCGCTAGTTTGATGACGTCATCGCCCTTACTGGGACGTTTGTTTGACGCGACGAGACGTCCAAGATAGGCAACATTCAACAACAAATAGCTTCTTTTTTTTAATATTACTGTGTTACTTTACTCGGTAGTTAGGCGTTTATTTCGATACGTAACACTCGCTTGTTAATTTAAGGTGAGTTTTTCTATTAATTTGGTCAGGGTTGTGCTTCCTCTGGGGTTTCTTTTCTGTTTCTTCCAGATTTTTCCTCAGCTAACATTACCCAGCGCTAGCTACGTTTAGCTGCCTTGTGTTTCGCTACTCAGACCAGTGCATTATGTTTGTTTCATGACCGTCTGTCTCTCCTTCAACCTTAAAAGTCGGATGTACTGACCTGCAGGTTGGAAATCACTTTCTTGGATCAAGATGTCGTACATGTTGCCACATCTCCACAATGGCTGGCAGGTGGACCAAGCCATCCTATCTGAGGAGGACCGAGTCCTGGTCATCCGCTTCGGACACGACTGGGACCCAACGTGCATGAAGATGGACGAAGTTCTTTACAGCATCGCTGAAAAGGTTTGATTAGTTTGTTGACGTCTTTGCCATCAACGTCACGTCGGAGCAGCATCCAAAGTTTGCTCCCTAGAATAACCTGCTGGTTTATTGGTTTTTGAAACGGGTTTAACTTCGTGTTGTCAGGTCAAATCCGCTCTTCATTGAACTACACATATTTATGTGAAACATTTCAGTTATTGCTACATTTAGACGTTTTTTGTTACGAGACACAGTAACGCCAGCAGAGGTCGCTGTTTCTTACGTGCTTCTGATTAATAACTGGTAGTCATCATGTAGTTAACAGCTTATTGGAGATACGCCAGTCAGTGTTTTGTGGCCATTTTCTAGTCATTTAATTTGTAAACTGGTTTGTTTATAAGTACCGTTCGCACACAACGTATCAATCTCTATTTAAAGAAACTAAAGGGAAGATTAGAAGCACAAAACCATACATCTTTGATTAGAGACCAGGCTAAACATTTAAAAGTGTTGCATTTAATAGATAAATGTTAGAATATATTTTTCACATAAGATTTCTAAAGAAGAAAACAGAAAAATTCGTTGTTTGAGGGTTCCTGTGCTTTGTAAGAGTAAAAGTTATCAGTTTTTTAATGAGATTCTATGATTGAAATCTGAAGTGAACAATTTTTGCTTCAAGCCAAATGAGCAAATTGTTTCTTCACAACTCAAGCTTTCAGGAAGTTTTTCAGCCAAAGGAGCCAATACATTTCTGCATAATTAATACGTGTGTGGCCTCAAAGGAAACAAGCTGAACATATGACATACTATGTGTCGCAAGTCTTGGAGGAAGGGTAAAACTCTTATTGACTCATTTCCTAGACCCACTACTCTGTAAAATTGACCTTTGCTGATTAATTGCACCACATTTCTCAAATATATAAATTATAAGCATTTGCACATTTAGAGCATTTGGTTCTCAGGGCTGTTTGAGAAAAGTGAATAAGGATCTCTGGTTATTTTTACACCTCAGGTGGAAATATTTAGGTTTGTGTACAACCAGATGTGAGGACCTTCATCCATTTGATTCAGGCATTTATTGAATAATGTATGTTTGTTCCTTTGTATTTAGTTTTAACGGGCAAACTTGTAAGATTTTGTTACTATTTTAAACTTTTACAAAACTCGTTACTGAGTTTTTATTAGCTTGCAGTTTTCCAGTTTATCACTGAAGTTGCTAAAGATCTTTGCAGAGTAAGATAGAATCAGTTTCTCAAGTTTTTTCCGATCTCCCAAAATTAAGGAAAATCGGACAGACTTGTCAGTTCACCCCTAGTTTTTTAACACTGTCATAGTTAACTTTTACTTTATAACTTGTCTTTTTTTTTTTTTACCGTTCTGCTGGTTTTGTTGGACACAGTTTGCTATCAACGTTCCTTTCTTTCGGCCAGGTCAAAAACTTTGCGGTCATTTACCTCGTGGACATTACAGAAGTGCCCGATTTCAACAAAATGTACGAGTTGTACGACCCCTGCACCGTCATGTTCTTCTTCAGGTAAGTCATTCTCCGAGTGTGAGTGTTCATGATGGGACGGTTGAATGGACGGTTGACGGTGCGCAGCAACCACTGTCACAGCTTCCATCTCCTGGTGTTAAACAATGACGTTTCTGTTTCCCAGGAACAAACACATCATGATTGATCTGGGCACCGGTAACAACAACAAGATCAACTGGATCATAGAGGACAAGCAGGAGATGATAGACATTGTTGAAACAGTGTACCGAGGAGCGCGGAAAGGAAGAGGCTTAGTGGTGTCTCCCAAGGATTATTCCACTAAATACAGATATTGATTTTATTTTTTTTCCTTTGCCTGCCTAATTTGTTCAGTGTTTGCCTTTCCCATTTGATAGTTTGGCAACCGAGAGACAGTAAGTAACGGAAAGCAAAACAAAATAGATTTTATTTTTGCTTTGTCGATGAAGGAGGAGAGGATCCTCATTTGGGGTCTTGTTACTGTTTGTGTTTCATGTTTTTCACCATTTCATGAATATTAGTGTGTCCTGTGTTTTTTGAAATCTTATTTCTGTGAAATAAGAGTAAAACAGATCAGACGCATTGTATTTGGCCTCTTACTTGACTGTTGTAATAAATATGAATTTCTACTTTAAAACACTTTCAGTCTTGATTTTTATTTTATTGAAATGAGTTTAAAACTGCAGTATGCAGAATGAAATGTGATGTCAAAGAAGCAAATGGAAAGGGTTTCAGAGCAGGTCTTCAGTTTTTATAACATTTAAAGTTATACTAATTAAAGAAAAATAGACAGATGCGACTTAAAAGGATGCAATCATGCACATACTGCCTTCATACTACTAACTTTGACTTTATTTATGTTAAATAAAGTCAAATTCTTGCAGTCAAAGAATTTCTGGGAAATTATTTTTTGTATTGTTTCTCAGGTAAATCTTATTTCTGAAATTTATTTATTTCTATTTTTCATTTTGAAAATCTAACTTGTATAGCTTCATTACACACAATGATACATTTCTATCAGAGATAATGCCAAAGTTCAAGTTCTCAAAAAATTTAAAATGTTACACTAGACAATTATGAGAATATGTAACACAGAGATATTGGTGTACTGAATTATATGACCATGTATTAAATTGCCTGCATAAATTTCCATAAATAAATAAAACTTTCTAATAGTTTTCAGCCTTGTGATATAAAAGGACTAAATAAAAAAAGTATCACTAGTGTTGCCAGTTTCTTTCTGTTTTCAGAAAGCATATATTGCATTAAAATATAGAAAATAACTTTTAGAACTAATAGCTTCTATTGCCTTTACATTATTAAAACACATATTTCAATGCATTTATCTGAGCACAACCATGGTACCTTTTACAAATTTATCTCAACAGAACTATCTAGGAGCTTTGAAGCATGTGCTCCAAAAATCACCACTAGATGGAACTAGAGTACCGAATAGTCTGTTGCTTTGATCTAAGACGGTCACTTTATGTTGATGAATGATCCAATCTGGCTTTTCTTGATCTAAGATGATTTCTGGTTTTCTTTGAAGTCTCTTTCTTCCAATTTCGATTTTTGAAAGATTCTCTTTCTATACTTCACCATTCCAGGTTCGTTTACAGGGGTTACTTGGAATCTTTTGGAAGATGTAAGACCTTCCCCATTTATGCTTAAAACACTTTTCTCGTAACCTAAGTTACAGAAATTAAGTCTGTCTTCTACACCATGAGAAACAACTAGAGAAAATACCCGTAGCTCCTCCCTCAGACAAATTAGCAGGAACAAGATATGTAAAGGTCACTGCTTGCGTCTTCACTTTGAGGCTTAGACAATGTACACTGACCAGTGGCCTCAATGACGAGGTGCTGAGGTGGCTGCTTACCAGCTGGCAACTGAACAGCGTTTGAGCAGAGAAGAAGAGGCAACCAACTGTTCTGGCTGCTGCAAAAACTTTGAATAACTTGGCTGTAGATGCACCAAGAGACAGCGGCTACAACGACCTGATTGCTCTACAGTCTGCACTCTGACCATCAGAAACATGTCTGTAGTAGAAAACAAGCTCGTTGTCTGTGTGTACGCCATGTTGAGGGCTCACAACACCGCCCTCCAGGCGTCCCACGTCCTTTCCAGTTACATTAACCCGGAGTCTGGCATGGCTTCTTCTTTGTCTGGCCCGTCCCTGCAGGGCTCATGTACACCATTCCAGAGCCGCTGTTTTCATATGGAGCGTGGGGCAAAAGGCCGCCGCCATTGGTCCATTATAATTCACATTATCATGCATTGTTATTCCCTATTAGAGTTAATCAGCTCAGCCTCAGGGGAAGCAAGTCCAGACAACTAAGGGATGGTGACTAACTCCGGTCTAGACGTGAGAAGAGGTGAGGTGGGATGTACAGTAAAACACAGAGAGGGGTAAAGACATTCAGACAGAAGAAGAAGAAGCAGCTTTTCTTATGGACTATATGGGGAATATGCACGCTCATGCTGTAAAGCCGTTTAATCCGTAATCTGGTTTCAACTGATAGTGTTTGAATGAGGGGGGGATGATCCGGACGCCAGGGGGAAGACACGCTGGCATCCTGCCATCCCCTGTGTGTCTCTTGCTTTCCAGGTCTGTCACTATCCATGTGGATACCCAGCAAGCGGCGGGGGAAGGGAACAGGACATTTGCCAGTTTCTGGGACACCCTACCCCCCTTACCTCCCTGCCGACTTCCATACTGGCACTCACACGGATGCATACACAAACAAAGCTTTGCCATCTTGTTTCTACCCAGCAACTGTTTGCTCGCTCTGTTCTTAACATACATTAAAGTGGATTTCTCTGGTAGAATTTGAACTGGGCCAATCGGCGAACAGAAGAAGTTGTGAACAATGACGTTGATTTTCTGCACCGTTTTAGAGTTGTAGTCTGCCTGTAGTTTTAGCAATGGCAGGGGAGGAAGTGAACAAGCACTTTCAATCTGCGTTGGCAGGTTGTTTCCGGTAAGTTTCAAAGCGTCAGACTGGCGCCTAAACGTTAGCAATTGAGTAAAATTTAAAACTTCAACAGAGTCCACCCAAGTAATAATTTCTCAAAAGCTGAGGGTCCAGACCTTCTGCGCGAATCAAAATATAGAGCAAGTGGCTGGTTTTTACTAGACTATGTCTCCAGGGATGAGGCTTTAATCGGTTATGCCCCAGTCAGACCCGGCCAGATTCTTCTCCATTTGCAGATCCGACGCAGTTCTTCCTTGTTTTTTGGAACCACCTCAGGGTTTGTACAAGCCGGACCTAGCCAAGTATTATGCACAAGTTGAGATGTTGTTGATTGGCCTGTCAGCATCTCAACCACCATTTTCAATCCACAATGAGAGTTGGTTGGGCTCCCTGAGAATCTCTTTCAGATTGAAGACGAAGACAGATTAAATGTAACATTTTACTTAATGAGCCATGATTTTCTTTATGCATACAGTTGCTACTTATGCATGTGAGGACGCTTTGACGAAACATTATCCCATCCATCCACTGCAGTAGTTTGGTGTTTTAGCTCAAATGGGACACAGACCAACACTTTTCCTGGTACGTGCCCAATGAGGTGGATGAGAGAAAGTGGAAGTAGATGCTGCGTCCCAAACACACGCACACACACACACTGTCTGTTAGTTATAAATAACTTAGATGGAGCGACGCAGAACACCCTGAAGCTATGGGTCATCTGGCGCATCTAGAAGAGGCCATTAAAGTACGCTGAAATGCTCTGTATGTGAAAGCAAGCAGGGTGAGATTCTGTGAGGCATGTGACCCGACTCGGTGTTCCGCTGAGAGTTTTAAGTAATGAGGACGACGTTGCGCTCATAAAGTGGATTACAGCCTTTTAAAGTCCTATAGAAACATTCTCAGTGCTAAATTCAACAGACAGACGGCTTCTATTTTCAATCAGATGAGGAGGGAGGCACTGTTTAATGGCAAATATGGAGGCTCACAAGGCCTGAAGGTCAGTTGTTTCACTGACCTTCCACTGGGTTGTTTTTGTGAAGCCCCTTCAACTTTTTCACATTTAATCACATTATAGCCACAAAGTTCACTGTATTTTATTGAAATTTTAGTTGTAAGACGCAAGTGAAGTTTTAGCCTGAGTAGCTCAAACAAAGAATGAATGGACAACTTCTATTAACAGCAACTCTGATTTAGCTCTGGACTTTGACTGGACCAAAATTGTCGAGTACAAAGTACTTGGAAATAAAAATAACTAAAATCAAGCAATATTTTTTTAAATTTATTTATTTTACTGCATTTTTTTGGAGGGGGGGGGGAGCAGAAAGGGATTTTATTCATTGTAGATCCAAAACATATGAAGGATTTTGCACATTTGCTGTACTAAAAGTTTTGAAAATATTTTGGTCTCGATTGAGCTAATCTATTTTCAGCTGTAAGAACAGTTTTAGTCAATTAAAATAAGTTTAATAAGTTAAAATAAAGCTAATTTGGTTGCGGCACAATCAGCTATTCTAATAAAAGTCTCCGGATAGCTCTGACTCTACTTATTGTAAAATCTTGGTTATAAAAACATGAATTCTTTGTGTTGTACTTTAGATTTTCCATTGTTAAAAAAAAAAAAGTTGATAATTTTATCCCGATTAGAAATAATAGTTCTCTATCTGCATCTGGTGGAAGGGCCAAATTTGTATCATTCTTGAATGAGAGTTGGGGTCTGACATGATCAGTCCAAGGGTCACAGAGGGAAACCTCAGGCACAGCCTCATAAGTGGTCAGGAAGAAGTTTATTTTTAAGCTTTTCAGGGGTTGGACAGACAGAATGTGACATAGGATATTTACAGTAAAGTGCTGCTTCTTGCACTTTTTCTTCTCTGTTCTTGTATCTCTGCACAGAGATCCTGTCGGAGGCGCTACTGTCACTGTGAAGTACTGACCTCATTCCTGCACGGCCTTTAACTTCCTCCTTGTCCAGTAAACTTCAACTCTTCTTGTGAGTTACATCACAAGCCTCTTTACGTAACCCACTCCGCCGGGAGCGACATCAAACCTCGTTCCTGTCTCTTGGCTTTCTAATTACTTCAAGGCGAATGTCAGCTAATAGATTTAGGGATTAGATAGGAGGAGGTGGCTCAGTTTTAACGTGGAGCTTATCGCCGAATCTCTTCTGAATGGAGACGATCTCGGGATTCGACGACGGACTCGTTGACTGCAGGGTGGGTTTGAGTGAAGAAATCAGAGTAAACAAACCGTTGCCTACAGGCTGGCAGAGATTAACAAGCAGGGATGTTTGAGGCTGATAATATCCTGAACCAAACACACACACAAACCCTCTGCTTTTAAACCACTCCTCCTCTTCCTCCATACATGCTGACAAACTTACCAGCTGGGTGGTATGTTTGTTTTCACACCCTGCCCACCCCCTTCCACCAATTTTTGAGTCTTTCTTGGGGATTTGTGACTAAACGGATTTGCATTCCCACATAATCCCACCCCCAAGAAAAACGATGCCATTCCTCCATGAGCAGTGGAAGCTGAGGGTCCGCCGAGAGAGTCACCAGAACTCAGTGGGGAGGCTGAGGCAAGGAGGGGGGCTTACCGACGTGCCGTACAGACACACGTCACATGAGGGGCCCCTAGCGCCTCGCACTCAGCTACATCTGAGGTTCGGCTCCTCCATTCAGATGCTTCAGAGCCAATTAGCACCTGTCCTGTACTCCCAGGCGGGACGGCCCTCCCGCTGCAGGGAAGGTGTGATGCTGAGAAATGCTGCAGCTGAAACAACACAGCCAGTGTGCACAGACTCTCATGAATGTAGAAGAGGAAAACTGCATTTTGTTTTATTTTTTTATTTCTTATGAAATATGTTTGAAACATGTAGACGGAGATGGTTTGTACTTGGAATCTTGGTTCCAGTTTGAAGTGACAATCCAAACCTTATCACATCTGGTTCACCAGTATCTTTTTTAAAATGCTCTTAATTTTGTAATGTGGGGTTTTGCAAGCAGTTTAAACTAATAAACTTTAAAAAAAATTACAAAATGCATACAGTCATAATCAATAAATTAGAATATATGACTATAAGTCTCCTTCGTCAGCAAAATTTCTTCTTTTGTCCTAAGACAAGTTAGTTAAAAAAAACAAAAAAAAAAAAACACCTAACACAGCAATATAAAAACAGGATACAAGACCCTCTGCAATAAACCATGGAAGTATCTCCACCCCATGATACTCCCACCACCGTGCCTCACCAGTAATGTGAAGATCTAGTTTTCTCCACAGTCACCATAGCCCTGTGTAATTCTCTGATTAACCCTCTCTGTGTCAGAGAGGTGGACTTTTATGTGTGGATTTTAGGTGGGGATGACAGAGCGACTGGTTTGAAATTCAGTTCTCTTTCTCATCTTAACCCGCTGCTCCCTGACCTGGCTGCTGTATTCTTTTTGGTCTTTGTGATGCTTTTTGTTCCCTAAAGTTCCCAAACAAACCTCCCAAGACCTTCAGTGAACACGTAGATTCATACTGAGATTAGATTTTCTCACAACGCTGGTCACAACGCACTGTAAAACCCTCCGCACCAAATCCCACACTCTCACTTCATGAGTCTCACCAACCGAACGTTAGGCTTTGTGTATGCAGATGAGCATGTGGGCAGCTGCTGAGCTCAGTATGAACACCAACGGCATTTGAATTTATGTTTCCAGTGTGGTGTATTTGGTATTTGTGAGAGGTATTCGGTCTCTAAGTTCTCAGTGTTACATTATGTCAAATGTATCCACCTGCTTCTCATCATCTCAGGTCCCTACATAGTCTTTGTTAAGGGGGGGCATCTGCTGACTGAAAAGAGGTTGCTCATCTCTCCTCTCTGCCCTTTCCCCCCACTCTTCCTCCCACTTCACCCTGCCGTTCCTGTCGATGTGGTCTCCCCAACCCTGCAACACCCCTACCGAGCTTGCGCCGTTAGTACAGTCTGTCTGTACTCTCTCCTTATAAGGGCAAAACTCATTGACAGAGGCAGAGAGAGGGGGCCATGCCTCCTCAGGCAGGCAGGTAGGGGGACAGTGGCTCAAGCAGGAAGAAAACAAGACGTGATGAAGAAGAAGAAGGAGAAGAAATTATATAGCTGATGGACTGCAGTGTGAGAAGGAAATATGTGTTTGGCTGGATTGACTCCTGAGAACAAAGAGGATGTTTTATAGGAAAAGGCCAACACCTCATCATCGTTATAGAAAACATCTTAAAGAAACCTTTTAGAAGCAAAGACCCCAACGCTGTTATGTTTTAATCCACAATATACATACAACACATTTTAAAAAGCATGTAGTACTTACAAATCCCTCAAAAAATAAAAATAAATAATCTGTAGCGTGATAGTAAAAGTATAATTGCAACATTATTGCTTCGTATGGGAGTACTGCAAACACACAGTTGATGGTTACAATGAATGGATCTAAATACATCGCCAGCCTGAAAAAGTTCCTACATACACAGTATTTCAGAAAACTTGAAATTGGGTTGATGTTCACTTTCCAACAGAACAAAGTTCTCTGAACATAAAGCTGGAGCAACAATGGAACGGTTTTTACAACGTATTTACAATGGCTCAGTCAAAGTTTTGACCTGAAAATATGTGACAACTCTTGAAAATTGATACTTACAGATGTTCTCTGTCTATCTGAAAAGTGTTGAGGATGGTCCATGTAGTCCAGTCCCCAATAGAAACTTTTACGCTTCCAATTGTTAAATAACACTTTTACAAGATACTGTACCTGTAGCATCCTCACTGAAGACATCTAACCTGTAGGTAACTGAGGGCAAGGAAACTTAGGATATTTTCTAACTACAGGATGTTAGAGATGGATACATCATACTTCTTTAAGCATGTTAGATTTTGCTTGTTTCAGCGTCTGCCCATTGAGAACAGGTTTCAGTACTTGGGTCTTTCACGTTTACTGGCTTCCTGAAAAAGGCACAGAATGTGGTTTTACTTTGACATTACCCGCAGTCAAAACAAAAGAGCAAACCACTATGTACCGGCCACTGGCTTCCTTTCATAAAGGCACTACCAAAGACCATTTTAAAAAGTCTTTACAAAGAGTACGTATGTCCAAGATGTACAGTGGATACGTTACCTTCCTCAATGACCAGCAACTAGGTGTGGATAATAGAAATTACCTTTCTTTATCTTTACTACAGTTACAGAGAAGCTTTTTATTAAAAATATATCTGGTTTACTATGAGAGCTGCAAGGTATAACTGATGTTAGATCAGTTTCCTTGCAGCAGAAATGCTCCCAGTTACAATCTCAGCCCTGTGCCTTAATGTCTGTAGTCGCGCATGATTTTGTTGTTCATCTGTGGCTCCAGAAATAGAAATATTAAGTTGAGGGGCCAATCTAAATCAACACTAAATGTGCGTCTATCACCTGATCAGAGAGTACCCTATGTCTCTCCTATTCTCCACCTGAGGCAGGCATCCGGCTCATTACAGGTATAGTTTGTGAATGATTGGATGTTTCACAATGTCCTTTTCCTCTCCACAGTACCGACTGTAAAAGTCTATTTCTGCACATATGGAGGATGCCAATTAGTCCTGAGAGAACTGCTTCACCTCTACTTAAAGTTTTGAGGAGGAAAGCACTGTAAATTCTTGGTTTTACAGTGCTTCAGCATTCTTGTCTGTGGTAAGCATTCATCTTGTACTAAATAGATTGCTAAAACAAAGTGCTAACCAAAACTTTGTTCAGCTCTTTTGTGCTCTCAGACTTTTGCCCTAGTAGTAACAACTGCACCTGACATCTCTTCATAATTCATAAAGCATGACTGGGCTCATTAAGGAGACACACAAACGCCACCGACAAGTCTCTGCTTTTCACAAAATGGACACCAGCCCGAGGAGATGGACCTAAACAAATCATAGACACTGTATAAATAACACAAGGTTCTCTACCTTACACTAGTTCACAATACTGTGCAGGTATTAATAATTCAGCTACACTTTTATATATTTCTATATGGCTCTCAAAAATTATCTTGACCTCTTTTTTGCACCTGACTATTGAAAGGTAACGTAAACCACAACAGATGTGAATTTAATGACACACCGACTATGGCTATTAATAGACCACATTTTGAAAATCTTCCTCCCATTAGATGGGTTTGGCAGTCATTATCTCAGGTTTACTTCCCAAAGAACTGTGTACAGTAGTTGTCTTTGTAGGCAAACTTTCCCCAGAAGCTTATGCAAATTGACTTTCTCATCTGAGCGGTAACCTTGGATACGAGCAATTTATCCGTTTTGGGTTGGTTTGGAGCAGAGCTGTTATCTTGCAGAACAATGTGCCCACATTAGGTCATAATAATATTTCTCAGGAGGGGGTTTGCACAACCACATGCACAAACATGTTTGTTTCAATAGCATCATGGAGATGCCTCAGCTCCACAGAGCATGCACACCTCTTAAACTATTCCAGCACTACTTCAGTAAGTATTTCACCTGGTCCCTCTGGTTTTATTCTAACATTCCCTGTAACCAGATAGGAAGATCATTCTTGAACAAGATACTTGGTGAGGCAGAGAATGATCCTTGACCTGAAAAAGGCAGAAAATGTGAAAGCAGCTAAGACTCGGGGACCGGAATGAAGCAAAACCACAGAAAACTGGTGAACCTTGTTCAGATTAGAAAGAATGGGCTAACCTCACCAGTGATTGCCTTAGTAATCTAGCCTCGGCATGGCTGGGCTCAGTCTGAAATACTTGTGTTGTGGGTTATTGAGATTGGGTCCAATGGCTTAGACTTGGGTGTAATTTAAATCCATATCCATAAAACCACTTCTAAACTCTGAAAGAGTACTTCTGATGACTGCTTTTTGGACAAAACCTTTCCAAGAGGACCTCTCTGATTTTTATTTTTCATAACATGAAAACAAACACAGTGGGATGACTCCACTCAAGAGTATTCTCAGCCGGTGACATCTGAGCAATGTATCTGTCAATTACATTCAGGATGATTCAACGCAAGGTACTTGGTCAAGCCCCAACCCCCCCCCCCCCCCCACACACAAACAACTTCTAAAAAAACACCTTTATGAACAAACAAAAGAACAAGAGCCCCCCACC